GATGGTCAAACAGAAAGGACCAATCAGACAATGGAAGCATATCTTAGATGCTATATAAATTATCGACAGGACAATTGGGTAGAGCTATTACCTATGGCACAATTCGCATATAACACATCGGAAACGGAAACCACAAAGATTACACCAGCACGCGCGAACTTTGGGTTTAATCCTAAAGCATACCAAACACCGATACTACAGGAAGTTAATGCCGAATCAGCAATAATACAAGTCGAACAATTAAAGGATTTACAAGAGCAGCTTGCTCTTGATCTAAGATTCATATCATCCAGAACAGCAGCGTACTACAATACGAAACGTAGTATGGAACCTACGCTTAAAGAGGGGGATAAAGTTTATTTGCTACGACGAAACATCGAAACCAAGAGACCAAGCAATAAACTCGACCACAGGAAACTAGGACCATTCAAGATTGATAAGGTAATAGGAACGGTTAATTATCGATTGAAATTACCAGACACAATGAATATCCACCCAGTATTCCACATATCCTTGCTTGAACCAGCACCACCAGGAGCGCCAAATGCGCCATTTACAGAAATTGAACCAGTCAACCCAAACGCCATATACGATGTCGAAACAATACTAGACTGCAAATACGTCAGAAACAAGGTCAAGTATTTGATCAAATGGTTAGACTACCCACACTCAGAAAACACATGGGAATTCAAGGAAGATCTCAGCTGCCCTGAAAAGCTACGGGCATTCCACCTGAAGTACCCACACCTGCCAATAAAGCCTCAAAATCCGCTTCGGACAACTCAGGCAAAGAAGAATCGAAAGCAAAGGAGTCGTCGATAGGACCAGCAACAGAGGCAGACGCCATTTCTTTTTCTCTCTCAACACGCTCTTTCTCTAGCCTTTCCTTTTCTTCCAGAGCATCAAGCTCATCCAAATATTTAAGGCCACGGTCGGCCATGCGCTGACGCCGCTCGCGCAACAACTTTTGTTGTTTCCTAAGGCGAAGGATCTTCGCCATAGCCTCTTCTTCCTCCGAACGAAGGCGTTCCTCTTGACGATCCAAGGCGCGCCAATCGTCTTCCCGAGGAACTTCTCGATTCCAATCCTCGGCCAAAGGAAACTCAGCATTATAAGAAGAACGTGCATGCATGTATTCAGAACAACGAGAGTGATTGGAACGAAACAAATCCTTAACACATCGATAACCATCCAAACGACAACGCGAACACGGAATCATTTCGACATCACTAGATTCAATAGCCTGAGCAAGAAGGATTTGTTCCTTACGTTTTCGAACAGTTAGGTGATTAGGGGAAATAGTGGTGATAGACATAATGAAAGAGCCTAAGACCATTTGATTCACCGGCCGGGTGGGGAAATGGAGCATTATAAGACGCTTGGGACAAGCGCTAGTCTAGGAAGGGGATAGTGTTACGATGGGTAACAGAATGCCATGTGACAAGTGTCACGTGGTGGAGTCCCCAGGAGCCAGGGCTCCAAGGAGGTCCTTGGGAGCCAGGACTCCAAGAAACTCCAACCAACATCAGAGTACGAAGATCTATATAAGGGAATGGGATTTCATTACAATGTAGAGCTTCGTGCTCAAGAACAATCATTAGTTTCATTACTATAGTTACGAGAATTGCAACCAGTTACCAACCTTATTGAATTCCTACTTGAAGTTTAGTCTAAACCACCTCGAGAGAACTCTAGACACTTCCACGTGACCCTAGAGGCAGCTCCCGTAACAATAATCTAAAATCTAATAAACTAACTAAGAGCTTATTCGAATCGATTTTTTTAACATTAGACTTAATATATTAGTTATATTAGATCTAATATAGTATTTATTAAATATAATATTAAAGTTAATAAATATTAAGTTGAGTATTCTATTTTCTAACTACTCTTCTTTTAAGCTATTCATTTACATTAAAAATCGCTTTTTTAGCTTATTAATAACTTTTTTATTTATAAATAGAATTTATTGAAAACTTATATATATATAATTAAGTTTATTTTAAGTTTATTCTGAAAATTTTAGATTTTTAAGATTTTTTTGAGTGGAGATTTGAAGCTTTGTAATATCGATTTTTTAATTTATATGAGAATTATATACAAATTTGAAATCAGTTTTAAATCTTCAATTATTTTTTAATAAAAATTATTAAAAATAAACTATAAGTTTTTATTATAAATGTTCTTTATTTATAATATAAGAGATTTAGAAAAATTAGAAAAATTTTAATCAATAAGTATTTATAAGGATACTTTCGAAATTACAGGGATTATCTTTCTTTACTTAAGTTATACCTTCATAATTGTCAATATTTTTTAATTCTTTTTTAATTTTTTATATAGATTCAAATTCAAAACCTTCAAAAAAGTAATTAGTTTCTTTTTATTAATTAGAATTAAAAAGTTATTGAAGATTTAAAATTGATTTCAAATTTATATATAATTTCTATACAAATTAAAAAATCGATATTTTGAAGCTTCAGATCTCTATTTAGAAAAATCCTGAAAATCTGAAATTTTTAATGTGAATTGAAAATGATTTGAATTATATATATATAAATTTTCAGTTAATTATATTGTATTTTGATGAAGATATTAATAAACTAAAAAAGCACTTTTTAGTGTAAAAGGGCGGCTCAAAACAGGGGTGGTCAGAAAGTAGAGTACTCGACTTAGATCTAACATATGACTGAAATTCTTCAAATATTTTCGAAGTAAATATAATATTAAGTCTAATAAATTTAAAATAATAAATACCTTAAATTTTCTCAACTTTTCTTATATAATAATAAACAATAATCTTTTAAATATTATTAACTAATATATTTGAGAAAAAGCAAGATCACCTTTATTTTTATTCAATTTTGTACATCCCGATACTACTTTAAATATATTCAATATATATTAGCTTTAGAGCTCATTCGAATCGATTTTATTTTTATTTAATGAAATCTTCAATAATAATAAAAAATAAGGGTATTGAAAAATTAAAGTTAATATATATTTAAATGAAGCTAATATATTTGAAGTAATATTAGAATATATAAAATTGAATTAAAAATGAAGAAGATATTGCTTTTTCTGAAATATATTCATTTTACAATACTTTAAAAGTTATTATTAATTATTATATAAAAAAAGTTAAGAAATGTTGATGTATTAATTACTTTAAAATTATTAGATCTAATATTTAATTAAATTTAATATTATATTCAATAAATATATTTATTTGAACTTAATATTACATTTGACAAATACAATATTAGATTTAATATAATTAATATATTGACTCTGATATTGAAAACAAGTTGATTCAAACGAGCCCTTAATATTTCAAATTATTCTTATCATTTTATTATTATTAGAGATTTCATCAAATATATTAAAAATCGATCCGAACGAGTCCTAACTCATCAACAAATTTATCACAGAGTAAACTAATACCTTCACTTCATGAAATAAGAGATTGTCTACAATATAAAAGACGAAAATTCCTAGGTATATATCGATTAGAGTGTCGTCTCTTCTCTCCCTTATCTATATATAATATATAAGCTAGCTAGCTGATTAGCTGGTTAGCTCCTCTTTTGTGATTTTAGTTATCGACTTGGATCTGTAGAATTTGTGTTCATTGATGCTTATTTTTGTTGGGAAACTTGATTGAGAAAGTTGATAGTTTGTGTGATTCTCGTTACTTACTATACTTGTATTTAGACTCGATGTAGGATTACAATGTATATGTTATAGATGTGTTAGGAGTTGAGTAGGGAGATGGGGGGTTGAGGGATGGGTTGTAATATACTATACATACTGGCCAGCATGGATAGGGAAATCGGGAATGCGGTAGGTTAAGTCATGACATTGTATACTAACTCGGTAGCCCGCACCGAGTACTGTGTATTATGACAGGGTGTGCCTCGCTTATGTACTTATGTGGTGAGTTAATGGCATTTGGACCTTGAAGGGAGCTTATTGGATAGTGATGTGATGATGCATGATAGTGAGATTCGAGGAGATCCATCTGGATTATATTGAAAGATAATAAATGCGCAGGTATCTATTAGACTGTTCGCGATGAGAGGAAGATTTTGTTTTGATACATCTAAGGTTGTGTTGTTGATTTGGTGGGGAGATGGGAAATGGAGGATGGGAGATGGAAGAGGAAAAGATGGATGCCTGCCTGCCAGAGTTTGGTTAGCTGCCTGCTTGGATTGTTGTTTGTTGTCATTTGTGGACGATATGTTTTGGATTTGGGTTTGGGGTTTGGGTTTGGAGATTGAGATTGAGATTGATGGATTTTTCGATTTTGGGGTTTGATTTGTTTGGGTTTTTGGTGTAGTGTGGTGTTGTGTAGTGCAGTTTAGTTGGTGGGAATTCTTCTGCCTTGAAATTTTGGAAGAGGGCATCGGTTTTTGTGTCTTGGCTTCTAGATTGGAGAGACGAGGATTGTGGGATACGATGTAAGAAGGCAGATACGTTTTTTGTAGAGCTGATGAGAGATGAAGGCATCGGTTTTTCTGTCTCGGTTTCTGCGTGTGAGATTGCGCGAGTAGAGGAAGGGATGAGGTGATTCGTAGGTACCTTACTTTTGAAGACGTCGTGTGCATGCTTGTGGTGTTGTGCTTTTTTGTAAGAGGAGATATATGTATATATGTATGTAGACTCCCGCTGCTATCGATCAGCTTATTTCCTCAATAATAATCATCGACAGTAGTGTCCACACGAGGAGATGAGGATAGAACCTTTGGGCAGTTAATGATACCAAGTAGTTTCACCAGCTTGAGATTGTTCTTCTTCATCATGGATATTTATTCGGATATACCTCTCGAACTGAGAGAACTTAACGAAACAGGTCTTGTGAACGATAATAATTTCGGACCTTTTCACAAGGTCCCTGAGATAGTAACATTCGATTTCACACTCCTCTTCGAAGAAACTACCCTCTCAATCGTACCTTTACTTTTCTTATTAATCCTCATACCACTGTGAATTCAGCACTTATGAAAATCCTCACGAAAAGTAATAAGAAGTCATCTTCTCACCACAAAAATCATAAGTTCCATATACATATCCTCATTCGTCACTTTCTCCTAACGAATTAGATCTTTCTCTCCATCTTCAGCATCCTCCAAATCGTAAAATCACAATTTCCCACTCCCCCCTTAAACCACGTGCCTCTCTACCCTCGATTTGTGCTTTCTACCGTATCTTGAACATAGCAGGAATATTAGTCCCAGCTCGATTATTAACGCATACCTTTTTTCACATTACCGTTTGATGCCGCACAGTTGCGAACGAGATGGCTACGCGGAGATAATGTAGCTGGTGATGTGATTTCGACGTCTCTTCTAGGAGTTTAACTCCTGCTTTTGATCTTGGAGGCGAATGGGAAAAGAAAGATTCTTTTCCAGAGATATGAGTACCTTTCGCCGGAAAGTACGAGTGGATTGTTTGCGAGAAGTTTGTTTTGGTGGTTGAATCCGCTATTTAGGTTGGGGTTTGAAGGAGTGGTTAAAGATGAGGATTTATTTGAGGCGGATAGAGAGTTGTTGTTGAATGCTTGTGAGGATAGGTTCAGAGAATATTGGGGAAATCGTAGGAAATCCAATTCTTATGGTGGTTTTCTAGAGATTGATAATAGATGTAAAGGTGAGAAGTATCCTCAAAACCAAACATTGATGTGGGCTATGCTACGAGCAATGTTGGAACCACTTACTGCGTCTATTCTACTACGTTTAGTACTAACATTCTGCCGCTTTTAGCAACCTTTTCTCGTCAATAAAATCGTCTCTCTAGTCAGTAATCCACACTCCGAATTTTCCAACGATGGCTGGGGTCTAATCGCCGCTTCGGGAATCATCTATATCGATCTAGCTCTCACAGCAAGCGCATCGTAACACAAAGCGAACCGCATGACAACCATGGTACAAGGTGCTCTCATCAGCGTCATTTATTCCCACACTCTCGAACTCTCTCTAACTAATATCAACCAATCCGCAGCCGTAACTCTCATGTCTTCAGATGTCGAATGCATCTGTGTCGCTTTACAACCAATCCATAATCTCTGGGCTAGTTCCTTGGAAATCGCACCAGTGATATGGTTACTACAGAGAGAAATCGGTATTGCGCTTTAGGACCATTGTTCGCATCAACCATAGCGGTTTCAGGCCCCCTTTTTCGCGGCGAAATATATGAGCGCTGCGCAGAAGCTTTGGTTGGAGAGGATTCGAATGAGACTCGATATATCTGTGTAAATGTTGCAATCTATAAAGGGAGTTAAGATGTTAGGTCTTAGCGAGAAAATATCGAGTATGATTTCCAACTTAGAGAATTTGAAATCAGCAAGTCTCTGAAGATGAGGAGGCTATTCGTGGTTATGACCGCTTTTGGTAATATGTCTGGTATTTTCGCGCCTGGGGCGGCTTTTATCATGTATGTTATTGTGGCTTCGGCGAATGAGAAAATTCTGGATGTCTCGTCGGCTTTTATCGCCCTATCGCTTATTGTGTTGCTGGTTGTGCCTATTCGAGCAATCGTGTTTGTAATTCCGCGGCTTATTGCTGCGGTGGGATGTTTAGATCGGATTGAGAATTTTCTTACTTCGGCTACGAAGAGAGATTATCGTATTGTATTGCCGCGAGTGCGACGTTTTTCAGGTGGTCATTGCAGCCTTGGGACATCTTCTAGGGATGTATCTGTGGGTCCTGGGATTAGGCTGGAGAATATGACAGTACGAGAAGATATATCCGAGCCAACGACAACGATTGCTGTCAAAAACTTGTCTCTCCCTTGGTCAAGCGACTCCCCTCCAGTCGTCATCGATATATCGTTTTCCCTCCCCTCAGCCACCCTAACAATGATCATCGGACCAATCGACAGCAGGAAATCTAGTCTGCTCTAAGGTCTTTTAGGAGAATTTCCTTCGACAAAAGGAAATGTCTGTATCAATCACTCTCAAGTTGCATTAGTAGATCAAACCTCTTGGATTCCAAAATGCAGTATTAGAGATAACATTTTCGGGACTAGCGACTATGAATCTGCATTCTATCAGAGAGTCATACATGTTTGTACTCTAGTAAATGATATTGAAGGGTGAATGGTAGATGGAGATAATATTATTGCGGGATCTGGAGGAGCTGCGCTTTCGGGAGGACAGAAATTAAGAATTGTATGTTTGTTCGATTTCCTTTTGCCGATCTGGGAGTTTTAATGAAAACTGACATTAATAGGCACTTGCTCGAGCAGTTTACTCCCGTCATAGAATTTTGATGTTGGACCATGTATTCAGTGGTCTAGATATTGTTGGTGAAGAACAGATTTTTACTCGCTTAATCGGTAGACACGGATTACTTCGTCAATTGGGTATCACGACTATACTACTTACTCATGCGGCACATCCTTTATCATATGCGGATCATATTATCGCTTTGAATGTTCATGGTACAGTCGCTGAACAAGGAAAATTTTATGATCGGACTAGAAAGAATGGATGTGTTTCTAGTCTTGCAACGAAACATGTAGTAGCACAGATACGTCTAAAGAGTCTAAATCTGTGGATGTGAAAAACAATAATGATACTGCGAGACAAATTGCGAGTGTGGATCTCGAGCGTCCGATTGGCAATTGGGCGACTTATCAATATAATTTTGAGAGTTTGGAATACGGGAATCTGGATGGGGGTCATGATTTGTTATTCTTTACTCTTGCAGTTTCCTAGTCAGTTAAGCCACTTCTGTCCGATCTTGAGCTTGTGTGTAAACGGACTAAAGATTCAGATCTCTGGATTATATTCTGGACAAGTGCCATTACCATTCATGGAAATTCAATCAATGGTTTCTACTTCGGTATACTCACAGCCGTCGAAGTAACCTCCATGTTTATACTCATGATCCTCACTAGCACACTACTCTTAAAAATGATTCCTCGATCCGCCACCATCTTACGCACCGCACTTTTCACCAGCATCTCCAACGCTTCTCTCTACTTGCTCACCAAAACAGACACGGGATCAATCATCAACCGCTTGAGTCACGACTTCTCAGTCCTCGACTCCGAACTCCCCATTGCGTTTCTAATCGTGATTAAGAACATTTTCACATCCCTCATCCAAGCCCTCCTCATCTGTATCTCCGCCTCCCATTTCTCCCTCGCACTCCCTTTAATCTTCATCCTTGTATATCTCCTCCAAAAATACTATCTTCGCACCTCTTGACAAATCCGCCTCGTGGATCTCTCATCTAAAAAGCACCCCTTCATACAATTTTTTTTTTTGAAACTCTCAGTGAACTCCTCATCATCCGCGCATTCGGTTTCCACACAGTCATGTAACAACGCCATGCAAAGCTCCTGGATATTTCCCAAAAGACTTTTTACTTACTCTGTTGCATCCAAGTATGGTTAATGCTCGTTATATATCTTTTAGTTGCCGCTCTGGCAATTCTGCTCGTAGCGTTAGTGGTGAAGTTGAGATATACCGCTGGAGCGGGATTGGTAGGTTTGGTATTGGTGAATATTATGGGATTTAATACTACGCTCTCGGCTGTAATTATTCATTGGACGGCGACGGAAACGAATTTGGGAGCGGCGGAGAGTATCAGATCAATTGTGTGTGGGACTCCGGATGAGAGTCGAAAAGAGATTGTAGAGGTAGAGGTAGAGGTAAAAGTAGAGGTAAAGGTAGAGATAAAAGCAGAAATAGAGGTAAAGGTAAAAGTAGAGGTAGAAATAAAGATAGAAATAAAGATAGAAATAAAGATAGAAATAAAGATAGAAATAAAGATAGAAATAAAGATAGAAATAAAGATAGAAGTAAAGGTAAAGATAGAGATAGAGGTAGAGGTAGAGGTAGAAGTATTGGAAGATTAGTCTAGTTCGAATTGAAAATCTAAAAGCATCGTATTCCAAAGATCAAGAACCATGCTTACGAAACATCAATCTTGATATTCCCGCAGGTCAAAAAATCAATATCTGCGGTGCTTCCGGCGCGGAAAAATAATCTTTCATCGTGTTACTACTGCATATGCTTGAAGTACAGCAGGGATTAATAATGATTGATGGGATTGTCATTCTCAAGATCCCACGTCAAATTCTGCGGGAACGTATGGTTGTTATGCCCTTAAATGCAGTCTTTATTAATGATTCAATTCGCCAGAAACTCGATACTTTTTCTCTGTAATAGGATGATGTGGAAATTATAGGTGTCTCGAAAATTTGGACTTTTTCTCCAGGGAGTGATTGACATCGAGGGATTTTCTGATAACTATGATTAGAATATTTTATCGCATGGGCAGCGACAACTTTCTTGTCTGGCGCGTGCAGTGCTGAGGTGTAGATGGATAAGGAGAGTGAAGGAGAGATGTCTGGTTGTGGTTATGGATGAGGTGGGTGCGAATGTGGATTTGGAAACGAAGAGGATGATGAAGAGGGTTGTGGGGGAGGAAATTAAAGAGGCGACGGTATTGAGAATTGCGCATAGGGAGGGAATGGTTGAGGGGTCCGAGAGGGTCGTGATTGTTTCGGAGGGGAGCGTGTTGGATGGGGGTCGTGATCTTGAATAGAGAGGGGGATGGAGAAGAAGAGGGAGAGGTTACCGAGAGGATTTGGAGTCCATAGGATGCAGGATGCTACATGCTGAATGGGTAATATCGGTAGATATATCTGATATCTAGACTCTAAAAACATTTAAATAAGCCACTCAATCATAGAAATAATTGTGAAGTAACAAGATGAAATCATATACGATCACAATGTTTGCACAACAGATGAAGAAGTACCTTTCCACAGCAAATCTCTCTGAACATTCTCACCGAATACTAACTTATTAGCTAACTTTTCAAATCTCATTCATAAGATCAATCTGTTTCAAACAGACCCTAAACCTCGAATCTCAAAGCTGAGTAAATACATAGGTATCTCTAAGTGGAGTTGAACTTTAACTAGACTTGATATATAAAAACAAAACGGATAGTATCAGTGGAAGTTCCTTATCATTAGTTGGTACTTATGATTCTCTCCCCTCTTCCTTTGTACTTCTTAATCCTGATTTGAACTTGTCAATCTCTATGCTTCAAGTCTATGTGGTCACTTCGTGATACTGAATAGAGTACATTCATGACTTGGGGTGCTCCCTAGTGCATCTGTGTCTCTTGTATCATGCTATAGTATACTTATCTATGATTGGGTGATTGAAGAGCTGTGTAAGCAGAAGTGTAGGGTTGATGTGATACTATACTTGATATTCGATTTCTCGAGGAGTTGTTCTAAGTTCCATTAAGCTATGAGACCGTCCATTCGTGGGCTATTCGTGGGAGAATTTGGACAGTCTTTATTCACAATGCTATCTGGAATATCAAACGGAAAGGAACTATACAATAGGTTTGTTGAAAACTTTCGCTGGTAGTCAATACCGGCCTTTTCGCCCTCCTCCAAGTAGCCGTCTTCCCCTGGCATGGACAACATTTACAAGATGTCAAAATCCGATTCCACTTTCAAAATTGAAGAACTAGTCAATAAATCCATTTCTTGTTATCAAAGTTTGAGACCTCAAGACTCGAAAGTTAATAATCCATTGAAATATGAACTTTATTATATTGTCAACGCTCTTTTACATCAAATTCGTCTGCACAAAATAGAAGTGATGTTGAAGAATCTTTGAGTTTTGAAGTTTAGTCATCCTCAACCTTAGCATCGAGGATCCTCCTGATCTGTTAGATCAAAAACCCTCGATATCTAGAATCTGCATTATAGTTTAGCATCCCGTTTTCCCCATCCACACCGAGGTTCAAGGGTCTCGAGGTTGGAACTAGTATGTCACATCCGATGTATACCCCTATCACAGCCGATTACTCTGCATTCATCCCATCCTTCAATATTAAGTTTAAATGTAGAGTTACATCGAACCACAATAACATGTCGTATGGTATCCAATCAGATTTCGAGGAACCTGTTGAATTAATATTCCCTAAACATTTCTTAGGTACTTACCAGTTCGCGCTTTGTAAACAGTTTTTCCACAAGTACCACGGCGTTGATTAGTTGATTACCTTGAGAACACTTAACGAGCTGGATAGGTACCTACCCCCCACGTATACTCAACTATTCCTCGCTATACAAGTGCACCTACCACCTTGACGAATACTAGGGAGCTCTTGCCCTAGCATATCTAATAAGTGCTTTTTTTTTTACTTTTTGAAAAAGTATCAATCTTATCAGATAAAAGTTTATTCTTATATAGTGAGAGCTCCAGACACATCTTTGATTACCAATACACCTTTTCGAAGGTAAATATACTCGTACTCGCGCTGTCAAAAGTATACAACGTCGCCAAGCAAAAACGTAGGTTAGTTCTGTTATTATACTTTATCATCCTGCAGTATACACATCTAGCTCCGGAGCTGTGTACGTTTTTACGGCATGAGAGCCTCCTTGATAATGGACGAAGCGATTCTCGATTAGAATCGGCCGAAAAGGAGCTTCGATTGGATTGTAAGATGCCGGTGAGATTCAAGGGTCGACACCTGCAGATGGAGATCTATTTTTAGGTGAAGGGGTTTGTAATTTTACATCGAGTTTTGAAATTCGATAGTTTGGGGTAGGCGAGGGATTAGATCAGGTTTATGGGATTTGGTCTTGAATTTTCTTCTTCTCTGGTACAGTTTCTTAACACACAGGATTACAAGGCAATAATAAAGAATTCGACGTTGATGAGATGAACGATATTCGCTTCGATGAATTCAATATATCGACTTCGGGATCGGAACCCTACAATCGCTTTGAAAAGCTAAATCATCTTATGCGAGTCCGAGGTGATCAGTTCCGTGACGAACCACGTCGTTTGTGGAGTCAGAAAGACTACACCGATTTAATAACTCGTTTCCAAAACCACAGATTTTAGGTCTCTTTACTTTCTCATCTAAACCTCTAAAGAGTTAATGGTAGCAATGAATCAACTAATATCATGTAGCACAAAGACTTTTGATTTTCCCGTTTTGATCTCATGGTGCCAGGTTCCTAGATAGTCAATTAGTCCTCCTGTTGAGTGCGTCTTGCGGCATGTGCATCTAGGTTCGGGGGATCCATTCTTCCTTAGCAAGGCAACCTCGACAACTTGGACAAGTGACCCCAAGTGAGTTGTTTTGAACTTTTGATATTCGAAATAATCGCTGCTAATGCCCCCACACGGCTCAATATGGATTGCGGAGACGTCATTCATTTCCTTGCTGGTACTTGAATTTCGAATCGAGCGGTGTTGAAGGATAAACCCCTATCAATCTACATGGGCCCTAGCTTAGCTTAACTTGCTTTAGCATTGTCTATTTTGCCTAATTGAGCGAACGTACTTTTTCTCCCACTTCTGAAAAATGATGGGATGAACTTCTTGAATTTCCAAACCTTTTGACATTTCTGATTTGTTGACTTTATTTTCTCCGGAGTTTGCACACAGGTATGGAAGACAGGCCCGTTACCGGGCATGAAATGGTAAAACTGGGGTACATTAATACCCTGTAACTTGCATGTTTCCCCATTGTGTTTGTAAGCCACATACCACAAATTACCCGACGCTTCGGGATGCATGAATCATTTGTCGCTTCTTATTGTTTGTATATGAGGATTTATTTCGCTCTACCTACCTATGTCCTGGGTAGCTAAGCTGCTAAGCTCTAGAATAATCAGAAAACCAACTTTTTTCTCAATGTTATAAATTTGGTAGTTTCATTTGTAGTTGATTTATGGTTCTAATTTAATCGAGGAGATGGATAGTGATTCTCATTTCCGATGCCTCTTTTCTTTTGTTCCCGAGTTCCTGCACGCTCACCCTCACAGATTTCTGGTCTTTGAAACACTATCAACCACCACCTTAATCTTTTTGGTCGCCCCACCACACGTGTGACTGAAATCATTGGATCATCTTAGATTAAACAATGCGAGCCAAGATGGAATATAAAGAACACGGAACATTTCTGGGGCACACGTGGTAGCTGCAAAGTCCACCGGAATATTTACAACGGACATTATTTTTTGCTCGGCAGATAGAAGAACTGTTAGGCTAAAAGGGGGAACCCTGACCATAGGTGGGATTACTTTTGGACTGGAGAGTAAAAAGCATTCTGACTTAGTAGGAGGGTACAACACGTAGCGAAAGTGGATGGTGTGAAAGGGTTGGGAGAGGAAAACATGGAAAAGTTCGACGAGTTTACCCTCAGAGGTAGGGATACTATGGACCACAGCTAAGCTAAGATTTCTATTCCATGCAACGATATCGATTCGCCTCTTGGTGCAACTTGTTCGTACTGCTGTATTCCGTGTATCCAGGAGTACTCCTGAAGAATTTGTATAAAGCCGCCTGGTAGCCATCTCTTGGCCAGCTCTGTCTTCCAACACTTCTTCTCACATTCTTCTTGGCTATCTTCGTTGATCATCTAACCGCACCATCATGCCTTCCACCAAGTCCATCGCAGCTATGCTGCTCTCCGCCATGACATTTGCACCCGCCTTGGCCAACCCAATTGCGGCCCCAATGCCAACCGCTGCCCCAAGCCCTGTCGAGGTTGAATCAGCCTTTGTCGAGCGCAACATCGAGAAGCGTGCTGCAACTTGTATTTTCAGTGGCTCTCTCGGTTACTCCTCCGCCAGCAAATCTAAGGCATCATGCTCAACTATCATCCTTAATGAATTGACTGTCCCCGGTGGTGTCACTCTTGACATGACCGGTCTCCCTGATGATACTACTGTCATCTTCCAAGGAGAGACATCATTCGAATTCAAGGAGTGGGAAGGACCACTTTTCGCCGTCAGTGGAAACAACATCAAGGTCGCAGGATCCAACGCCGACACTGCCATTCTTAACGGAAATGGTGCTTCTTACTGGGACGGCAAGGGTGGAAACGGTGGCAAGACTAAGCCAAAGTTCTTCCAAGCCCACGACTTGACTAATTCGTTTATTGAAACTCTTACCATTCTCAACCCACCTGTTCAGGTTTTCAGTATCAACAGTGT